TTGGAGCAATATTTTTAATAGGTGCGTTTTAATCATCCGCTGCTGCTTCGAAATTGTCAGTTTTCTTATGTTAATCTGACAGGTTAAAACGACTAAACCGACAATTCTGGAAGCAGAAGTGGATGATTAAAACGCACCTGATATTTTGCTTGATGCTGTCAGTGTCAGTGAATATTATGTTTGGAGTCACAGTTTATTGCTAAAGAATCAGTTAGCTCACTCGGACCAGTTGAAAGTTCCAAAATAACATCCACTCCAGGGATACAAATTCAGGATACGCAGAAGACTGCTGTTTTATTATAGGCGATTGTCATATATTGTATTCTCCGAGTTGCGCAGTGTATAAACTGGAACATTGAGATTAAAAGTGCCAACGCAGAGTGAGCGATCTGATTCTTTAGCTATAAACTGTGGCATAGGAATCAAAATGGCCGCGCCCTATGTTGAACGTGTCGGACCTCTCTCTTGCACCGTATAGTAATCAAAGTATATGGGAGTGCTACACTAGGTGGAACAAAAAGCCAGGCGGGTAAGTAAAAAATATTGTTTAATGAAAATAGACCAGTCATCATTAAAAGTCATCGCTATTTTCAGCAATAATAGACAAAAATGATATTTTCTTCTATTAATTTATAGTATGGTGCTCTTTGTAACAAAACTGCACTAGAAATGAATTCTGTAGAGGACTAAGTGTCACAAGCTGAATTGTTAGTGAATTGAAAACAAATATTTTGGAGATTCTAAAACCGGAGGCAATCCAAAACTAGACCTTGCAGAAGGGCACCATTTTCAAAAAACAAGATATTGGTACCATTGCATAGAGCGTAACGTGTACTACAATATGCCCGCAAAATCCAAAAAGTCACTTTACAAATTAGGTAAATGTATTATTTTAAACATTTAAAAAACAATTGCAAAAAATATTGTACTTTTTATGTTAACACTACAAAATTAGCTAAATAAGATTTTGAAACAAAAAAAGTTACTCTTTATAAAAATTTCTAAAATGTGTTTAGATCATAACAAAACATCAACCATATTTTTATGTCTTATAATAATCAACTTATGTTAATTAATATAAAACAAAACAATTAAAACGGCTGCCGCGAGATTTCTACACTCTGCTAACGGTTTATCGCTTTGTATATTCCATCTTCGTTGCACCTATGATTGTAAACATATAATATCTATCTCTATCGCACTATAAAACTAGCGCGGCTCATAATATTATCACCACAATGGGCAAATAATCTTAATTTTTTTTGTTGATAAACTATTGTAGTTCTGATAATGTTTAATACAGATGTCCCAAATTGTACGGATCCAAATGAAAGTTTATAGATTTCATAATTGTAAGTAAAAAAGTTCATATTAACACGTAACACGCAAACATTGATCAAAATTCGATCATAAGTCAAGAGATGTAAAAGTTATATAACTAATTAAAAAACCAAGAAAATATTAAATTTCACAAGTGGCGTGCAGCTAAAAATGTATCGTTTCTATCAGTTTTAAACCACCAGTAACTTTGCTACTGATGGAAATCGGACCAATATTAATATGAATTATTTTGTTTAAAATTATCTCCGTTTTATATAATTTGGAACACCTTGTATATTGTAATACATATTAAATGTTGAAAAAAATTATTGTCATAAGTAAAATTAGAATGGAAAAATATCTAACACTGAAAGGGCCCTCCCTCAACTTTAATAATTATATTTCTTTAAGTAAAAAGCATGGATATTCATATTTTTTTTTAGAAAAACTAGAACTTACAATCTTGTGTAATAATCAGTGACGGATTTAGGCTTGCTGCCGCCCTAGGCCCCGTTCGATACACCGCCCTTTTTGATAAAATGAATTTCATTAATTTTTATCCAATATTGAGACAAAGAAAAAAGTATTGAAAAGTATTGGATTGAATAGAAAACCAATACCAATACTTTTTTCTTTATGTTAATACTTTTTTTTAATCAGGTACATGCAAATCTTCGGTATTTTGATTTCACACTATAAACAAATAGAGAAGTCATTCGGATTTAATAATTTCAAAATGTTTCATACACTTAAGATTAATCTCACTAAAGGAACAAAAGTAAAGAATATTACTCGATAAAGACTATAGTTGATCGATTAAAAAATTAATATGTTACCCATACAGATTGAGAAGTAAATTAATGAATTGAATTATAATATTTTCTATCGAAATTTTTTTATAAAAACTAATCTGAACCAATTTTTGAAATTGATTGTCTTTACTTTTTGTGCCTCTAAAATTTTGGCATTTCATAAATTTTGCCGCCCTTCAAATTATGCCGCCCTAGGCCCGGGCCTCACGGGCCTAGGCGTAAATCCATCACTGGTAATAATCGTATTATATGTTCTCCTCATCTGCCGATGCTTCGCTAAACTCTTCAAAAATTGTATTTCAAATCAAATATAAAGCACAACATATTGACGTTGTTTTTAATCATTACACAGAAATTATGATTAAAGATGTTGTTACTCGTCAAAAAGAGGATCTTCCAAATCAATTAATAGGATTATTACTAATTAAGAGATCCCGTTTCCACAACAATAGAATTTATTTATTCACTGAATATTTAATAATAAACAGTTAACCAATATTTTATCAAACGAATTTCCTGATTACCTATTCCATGATTTTAAGATACAATTTGTAACGAGTGGCGGATTTATTAACATTCCAGACTTTAAATTTAATATTGATATTTGAAAAGAAAATCGATAACTATTAGAATCAAACCATGAAGAAGCTGACACTAGAATCCTACTTCATCATTGACTCTAACAATACCGATGTGCCCATTATTTAGGTGTATTTTAAAAACCTTCTTCCTAATGATATTTAGTTAAAAGACTGAATTATAAATTTTACTGGTTACGTGGCAGTTCATGAAATAGCCCTTAATGACAGTCTAACGAACAACCTACCTTATTTTCATACATTAACAGGATGCGATACAAAGAGTCAATTTACTGGAATGGTAAAAAGATCCAATCCGAAGATCTGTTTAATACTATTAAAAAATTTGTAATAAAATTATATTCGTTGTTGTTCTTTTTCTTATAGTATTAAGAGGTTTAATGGCCCCTTCAATAGAGCTATCTAGGATACCCCCAACTAGTATCGGATTTGGACGTCAGCCGTCGGTCTACCGGTCATAAGACCGGTAGGCCTCCATTCAAGCAGTGGGCCTTTGAGAATATTACAGAAAATCCCGTAATACGTGGCAGCCACGGAAAAAGCATCAGTATGCAAAGAAGACCTTTTTTACAATAAACCTAACCATGAGAACAAATGCATCGGAGGGCCCTTCTCTCTCCTGAACAGGTAAGACCCATGGGTTCCATCTGACACTGCCTTCAACAAACGATTCCTTAGGCGTTTTACCAAACCAAGATTTGGTTAAATTCTTAACCAAAGCCAGGTTTTGAAGAGGACAGTGAAGAATCAGAAGACGAGGAGAATATTTAATACGATTTTTAAACAAGATTCTAAGTTATGGTATTTTTAATAAAAAATATAATTATCCATATTCTTTATAAATATATAAGTTGAGGAAGGGCTCTTTTAGTGTCAGATAATTTTACTCCTGGCACGTTTATTTTTTTTTTTTCAATATTTAGTAGGTATTATTACTAATAATAAATTTATTCGTGACGCCTATTTCAGAGGTCTTGTATACAGGGTATCCCCAATTATATAAAACGGAGACAGGTTAAACGTCTCATAATTTTAAGCAAAAAGGTTTATGTTAACAATGGTCCGATTTCCATAATTAGCAAAGTTACTGGTGGTTCAAAATTGATAGAAACGATACATTTTCAGTTGCACGCCACTTGTGATATTTGATATTTTCTTGATTTTTTAATTAGTTATCTAACTTTTACATCTCTTGACTTTTGATCGAATTTTGATCAATGTTTACATGTTAATATGAACTTTTTGGCTTAAAATTATGAAATCTATAAACTGTTTTAATTGCATCTGTACAATTTGGGACATCTGTAAAAAACATTATCAGAAGTACAATAGTTTATCTACAAAAATAATTAAGATTGTTTCCCGTTGTGGTGATAATATTATGAGCCGGGCTAGTTTTGTAGTACGATAGAGATAGATATATGTTTACAATCATAGGTGCAACGAAGATGGAATATACAAAGCGATAACACTGTTAGCAGAGTGTAGAAATCTCGCGGCAGCCGTATTAATTGTTTTGCTTTATAATAATTAACATAAGTTGATTATTATAAGACATAAAAATATGGTTGATGTTTTGATATGTACACATTTTAGAAACTTTTATAAAGAGTAACTTTTTTGTGTTTTAAAATCTTGTTTAGCTAATTTCGTAGTGTTAACATAAAAAGTACAATATTTTTCGCAATTTTTTCTGAAGATAAAACCGAGGAAATCGCATTTTAATTTTTTTTGTGCCGTAAGCCCCAATGGTTTTCTAAATGTTTAAAATAATACATTTATCTAACTTGTAAAGTGACTTTTTGGATTTTGCGGTCATATTGTAGTACACGTTACGCTCTATGCAATGGTACCAATATCTCGTTTTTTGAAAATAGTGCCCTTCTGCAAGGTCTAATTTTGGATTACCTCCGGTTTTAGAATCTCCAAAATATTAGTTTTCAAATAACTAACAATTCAGATTGTGACATCAGATTGTGACAGTACCCTACAGAATTCATTTCTAGAGCAGTCTTATTACAAAGAGCACCATACTATAAATTAATAGGAGACAATATAATTTTTGTCTATTATTGCTGAAAATAGCGATGACTTTTAATGATGACTGGTCTATTTTCATTAAACATTATCTTTTACTTACCCGCCTGGCTTTTTGTTCCACCTAGTGTAGCACTCCATAGTCCCCCACAGAAAGCATAATTCCGATTGACTAGCACTACACTATTATGGAAAATGTAAAGTAACAAAAATATAAATTTAAAATGTTTACCACAATGTAGATTCTCACTGTTCACGTGCACTTATAGATATTAGAATACCATGTTAAAAATTCGTATTACCTGTTAAAGAACAAAATAGAAGTAATAACAAGAAGGAAAATTAGTCGATTTAAGTTGAAAATACAAATAATTAACTATATAATCATCAGAACAATAATAATAATTATTAGTAGCTGTAATTATCAGTATAATTGTTTTAAAAACATGGTTTGTTATAATATGCTGCCTACAAAAATATGTTGTAGAACGAAATATTTTAAACCATATTTTCACTAATAACAGTTCTTTTCCTCTAATAAATACTGGGGATGGAACAATTATTTTATTTACTAAGGAAAAATTTTCCACAATATCAGCATATCTACAAAAGATACTACTTTAAATGTACAAGTATAAATCTATTTTTATGTATGAGAGAGTAATAAAACAGCATTTCTAATGCAAAACTTAGTACGGTCATTTTAAATATTTTTACAGAATAATCTAAATATTTCCTAAAATTGTAATAAATGTACCTGAGCTATTACAAGTTTTGGGTCTTTTAATGGTCCTTTATAAACATAAGCTGTACAGAACAATAGAAAAAGGTTTGGACAGTCCAAAAGCCCTGTGTATTAAAGATTACATAGCCGTATCTTAGGCAGGGGCAAGCAAGCCGGGCAGGGGCGTGGCGGCCACTTTAGGAGGCTGTAAAATTAACTACATAGTTTATGAAGAAAATGACTAAACAAAGATTCATTTGAATACTTTTGAAAAATTAATAGATGAAATTTAAATTAAATTTGTTTATAATATATTTTACAAACCTGTCTATGTCAAAAATCCTCAAGCACGAGAACGTGAAGAAGGTTGAGGTATGTAGTTTTTAAATAAAAACACGTTTTGAAAGATGAGTAAAGTTTTTGTCTATTAAAGACCAAATCCAAGACCAAATCCAAAACCAAACCAAAAATACAGAGCAATATAGATAAAATATCAAAATATTTAAAGGCGAGAGACTCCTACTAATTTCTGAACGAATATACGTCAAATTCAATTATGTCCAAGGAGTGCTGTTTTCTCTTGGGTATAGAGAATTACTGAGGCCCTTCCTATGGTGCCTCAGTATTGCGTTCGTGCATACAAAAAAATTTTCTTACTCCCATTTTTTTAAACTTTTTTCATGTTTCCGATCATTCTGAGTCCGAAAATGCATAAAAAAAAATTTCGTCTGGTCGTCTGTATGTATATATGCCGGCACGATAACTCTAGAACGAAAGTTCTGATTGACTTGCGGTTTTGATTTTCTTGAATAATTACTTCTAACTTAGAACCCTATTGATTCTCAGAATTTTTGGTTCATCCTAACTACTTTATAATCAATTTTTTTAAAATCCGCATATGCATTTCTTATGTTACAATTTAAGGGATTTTAATTATTTCTAAGTCAACATTCCTAACATTTTTAAAATTCCATAAATTGCAAACATTCTTTAACGGCCTGTCAAACAACAGCTGTTGATAGAAAAGGTGAAATTTCTAAGGCGGGTTGCGACCTTCATACTTGCAATCATAGCCATTTTGGAGGCTATTTTTATTCGAAATTAGTAGCCAAGTCTGCCAATTAATGAAAAATATATAAGCAATTTCTTAAAAATGACTTTTTTATGGTTGTGCTAACTTAAGCATACTATTATTTCGCCCCTAGCCACAAACACACCTTCATCAAATTTATTGGCTCTCTGTAGCAACCCCATAGAATAATTAACCGGCCATTTTATTTGGCAAAATTCAGAATAATACTTGGCTGTGCCAGTCAAGTATCAATATGTCAACTGTGATGTGTGAATGGCTCTTAAATGTCAAATTATTTAAAAATGTATACTTCTTTTGATATTTATTACAAATAATTTGTAGTATATCTCAATTCAGGCTTTCCATAAAGATACAGCAAGATAGATAATATAATGTTCTTATACAAAGGTAGGATAAAGCTGTTTTTTTTGTAGAAAATTTTTATTATACGATTTTGGATTACACATTCAACCAGCGAATTGTAAATAATAATTAGTAAACTTCTAGTCATAAATTTCCTTAATAAATAAAATTTAAAAATAAATCTTCTTACCTTGGTACCGAGGTATTTTGTTGTGTTTTTTATTTTAATTATAAAGTTGTCATTTATTTGTATGTTGTAAATTACATTGCTCTCTATGGATCTACTTTAACACAACAATAGTTTTGTGGCTATAAGTTGCTATAACTTATCGTCGCAAAACTATTAATAATTTAAACATAGTAAGTAGTATTATTATAACATCAAGTAATTTTTTAAAATTAATTTCATGATATCAAAATATAAATAATTTATAATAAATGCGGGTAAAACGAGGGGTAAAATAAGAATAAATTAAGGAAAATACTTAAAAAGGGCAGGTTTAAAGAGTATTATCACAAGAAAGTATATCCGTTCTGTTTATTTATCAAGTATTGTTTGAGGTTACTTTTGAATACATTTATTTATTTTTTTTAATTTCTGTAGGCAGTCTATTAAATTTTTTAAACCTTTATTCAAAATTTTATTTTGTAAACTTTTAGTGATGGATTGCCATACATGAAAGTCAGATTGGATTCTTGTATTTTAGTTGTGATATTTCGAATTATATTGAATTTTTTCTAATAGATCTGATGCGATGGTACTATGTCATTTTTATTTTATAAATAAATATCAGTCATGTACTGAACATAATTCTGAACTGAAAGCCAATGTATTTCTTTTAACATAGTTGCAATATTCATCCTTCTGTACTTTATTAATATTATATAAACAGGCGAAGTAAGGAGGCCAAATATTTTACATGAGCGGCTTAAGAGGTAAAGGGGCCAATTATTATTGGATACATTGCTCAAACAAGTTTGTAAACCCTAATCAAAAGGCGATATAGAATGGTTTTAAAAATCAAGGCTTATGGAAATCATCACGTGGTTTAACCTAATTAATGCCAATGCTTTACAAACAAAAAAATTCAACGTCCTAATACTACTATCGGCTTTCGGTCTTTCGTTCCAAGTTAAATCATTTCTCGTTTTTGTTACGCTACGAGTTTAGCCTTGTGGGCCTCAGTCTCGATAAGGTGGGAAGCACCATTTTAGCGTCTCTCGAATTATAGTTCAAATGATTACAGAAACCTTTAACTGTAAATATCGACAGATTGCAATAATTGTAAAACTTGTTTTTAATAAATTCACAAGCGAAGAAGAGATAAAATAGAACAGAATAATTTTAAAAAATAAAAAAAAAATAATTTTGGGAACTGTGGAAGAGAGGTAATCGTTTTATAAGCTATTTATAAAATTATAAAAATAATAACTCACTCATTTTGGAGTATTAGGTATACTTTTTTACATTTTATTGTATTGTTTTATAAGTATTGACAATTAAATTTTATTTAACAAAAATCGACTAAACTAAATGCCGCGTTTGAATATCCACATCCCATGCATTTTTTACATCTCGAGCGTTTGTTTATCCACATCGGAGCATCACACATCTACTACATCTACATCTGCGTTTGTTTATCCGAGATGTAGCTGTCCAGATTACATTTTTTACAGATCGATTTGAAATGAGATGTGAATAAGATGTTCGTTCCATGTCAGAAAGTAGGTGTTCTGTTGAGCCAAGTTTATCGATTTATCCTTTGTTTATGATATAAGATTGATTTGTATGTTTAATTTTTGTTTAGATTTCAAATTTAGGTTGATTTCTAGTCTCAAAAGTCAAATTTAAAAAGTATAAACTTCTAACTTGTCATTGTCATTTTATCACGTGACCAATAAAGTTTAGAGCGTTTGTTTATTACATCTTCATTTAAATCTAATCCTTTATCACGTGATAAAAAATACACAACATCTCAGATGCATCCGATGTGGATATTCAAACGCAGCAATTGTATGTAGGTGTTAAGAAATCGATAACTTGCAGTAAATAAAATCTAAATATTTTCTAAAATAATTATTATGATTTATTGGTACCCCATTAATAACAAATATAGATTGTGCAATGGGTGACAAATTCATTTATGATAATTTTAATATATATAAGACAAATTAGACAAAATTAGACAAAATTAGACAAAATTAGACAAAATTAGACAAAATTAGACAAAATTAGACAAAATTAGACAAAATTAGACAAAATTAGACAAAATTAGACAAAATTAGACAAAATTAGACAAAATTAGACAAAATTAGACAAAATTAGACAAAATTAGACAAAATTAGACAAAATTAGACAAAATTAGACAAAATTAGACAAAATTAGACAAAATTAGACAAAATTAGACAAAATTAGACAAAATTAGACAAAATTAGACAAAATTAGACAAAATTAGACAAAATTAGACAAAATTAGACAAAATTAGACAAAATTAGACAAAATTAGACAAAATTAGACAAAATTAGACAAAATTAGATAAAATTAGACAAAATTAGACAAAATTAGACAAAATTAGACAAAATTAGACAAAATTAGACAAAATTAGACAAAATTAGACAAAATTAGACAAAATTAGACAAAATTAGACAAAATTAGACAAAATTAGACAAAATTAGACAAAATTAGACAAAATTAGACAAAATTAGACAAAATTAGACAAAATTAGACAAAATTAGACAAAATTAGACAAAATTAGACAAAATTAGACAAAATTAGACAAAATTAGACAAAATTAGACAAAATTAGACAAAATTAGACAAAATTAGACAAAATTAGACAAAATTAGACAAAATTAGACAAAATTAGACAAAATTAGACAAAATTAGACAAAATTAGACAAAATTAGACAAAATTAGACAAAATTAGACAAATTTAGATAAAATTAGACAAAATTAGACAATTATTTTTTAATTTCTCCTAATTTTATGTAACTGCTGGTACCACAGAATGGCGCTGGTACCAGAAAGGGTGTTTGATTCCTTTTCCTTGCGAGACTACCTGCATTCTCGTTACCCTGTACCCCGTTGTATTTCAGGACCCAAGTGAGAGAATCATTTTTACTCGCCTAGGTCATTTAATTTTTCTAGGCATCTTCAGACCATTTT